GCTTCCAAAGGCCGCTCACTCAGTCTCCTGCCAAAACTGCTTCTTTTATAGGTTCCCTCACCCCGCCCAGCTTTTGCAGCTGTTCCCGGACTCCGCATTCATGGAGAGGGGGAGGGGAGGAGCCTGACCCTGCATCCCTCTGTCTGTGGCAATGGCGCACGTGCCCACAGGGACGGCTCTGCGTGCCGCCTATGGCACGTGTGCCATAGGTTCGCCACCACAGATCTATACAGTTCCAAGAAAATTGTAGGCTTCATAATAACTTTGTGCTGTTCAGTGTACTGTCTGTATGAACGTCTGCGTTGTGATCAAAAGGAGGCAGATGTTATAATCATAAATCATCCTTATTGAAGGAAGGCTTTGCCATATGTTATGTTAACATATGTTAACCAACACATGTGCTCTTTAAAGCTGAAGACCTTTTCATTCAATTCAAAGGATCATTTGTTCTAGGAACTCTCACACAGTTATTTCTTTGACATGGTCAATGCATACAGCATAACTTAGACATTTTTCAAAAGAAACAGATTGTCTTAAAATGGGCTTTTCAAAGAAATTGCAGGAAAATTATTATCATTAAATAATATAACATTTCATACAATGTTAGGGGACCTCCGTAGATTAAAAAAAGAGTTCTACAAGGAGAAGTTTTCTTAAAACATTTAAGCTTTTCCCAATGTTTATGCAGAAAAATGGAGGCTATAGTTACAGTCATGTATCTTATGGCTGTTAAATAATCTATTTCTATAAGGTAAAAAGGTTTTTATAATCTGAAGAAAAACCATTTATCCTGTTTCTGAGTAGTTGTGTAACTATAGCCTCCATTTTTGCATTGAATACCAAGGATAAAATATGTGTGGGATTTTCAGAAAAAGTAAAGAGTTTTTAATTTCCCTCTGATGGTACACTTGCTATATGTATTATTCAGAGAAGTTCAGTGAAAATGAACCTAAGAAATTCGGGAGTTCTTAGTTTGTTAGTCAGGTGGGCATCAGGAACACAATATATTTTGACTGCAGATGAACAAGATTTCCATTGGACTATGTTTCATGCTGGACTGTGTTTTCTTCTTTCACATGGGTGGAATGTAGGGACTGAACTTTCGTGATCTGAGAAATATGCTTTTTTTTTCTTAGTGTTATGTGAGAGTCCAGCTGATTATTAACCAGACCTTATTAAATAGATATGGCTTAGATATGTCAACTTAATCTCCTGGAACTGGTTTTTCTTCACTTTGCTTCTATGAAGATGAGCAGTTCTGCTAGTTCTTGATATTTGTAGATTCTTGGAAAAATTCTCTTCTGTACTATATGCTATATAAATAGATAAAGGAACCAGTGTTCTTCTATACTATATGCTATATAAATAGATAAAGGAACCCCCCAAAACAACTCTAATTTTGAGAAGGAAAAATGAAATTCATATTTTAAAAAAGGTATAGGAAATATATATATATATATATATATATATATATATATATATATATATATATATATATATATATAT